GTTCCGACGCGATCACCAGATTACGGTCGCCGGCCGAGACGTCCCCAAGCCTGTCGAGACTTTCGACGAGGCTGGGTTCCCTAGATATGTCATGGATGAGGTCAAGGCTCAGGGCTTCCCTGCCCCTACCGCCATTCAATCTCAAGGCTGGCCGATGGCTCTTTCCGGTCGCGATGTCGTTGGTATTGCCGAGACAGGCTCTGGAAAGACACTGACGTACTGCCTTCCCGCTATTGTTCACATCAACGCCCAACCCCTCCTCGCACCCGGCGATGGTCCCATCGTCCTCGTGCTTGCCCCCACGAGAGAGCTGGCCGTTCAGATTCAACAGGAAATCACCAAGTTCGGCAAATCGTCTCGAATTCGCAACACATGCGTTTACGGTGGTGTTCCTCGTGGTCCTCAAATTCGAGATCTGTCAAAGGGAGTCGAAGTCTGCATTGCCACACCTGGTCGTTTGATTGACATGCTCGAGGGCGGCAAGACAAACCTCCGCCGCGTCACGTACCTAGTTCTTGATGAGGCTGATCGTATGCTTGACATGGGTTTTGAGCCTCAAATCCGAAAAATCATCAGTCAAATTCGACCCGACCGTCAGACACTTATGTGGTCTGCTACTTGGCCTAAGGAAGTTCGAGCTCTAGCCTCCGAGTTCCAGACTGACTTCATACAAGTCAACATTGGTTCTATGGATCTTTCTGCAAATCATCGTATTACCCAGATTGTTGAAGTAGTTTCTGAGGGCGAAAAGCGTGATCGTATGATCAAGCACTTGGAGAAGATCATGGACAACAAGGAAAATAAGAGTCTCATTTTTGTGGGAACAAAACGTGTTGCGGATGAGATTACAAGATTCCTCCGCCAGGATGGCTGGCCAGCACTTTGTATGTTTCAGGTTTACGATATAGATTCTGTCACTAACATATTTGCAGCGATACACGGCGACAAACAACAGAACGAGCGCGATTGGGTTTTGGATCAATTCAAAACTAACAAGAGTCCCATCATGGTCGCCACCGACGTGGCTTCTCGTGGTATTGGTATGATTAAAAATCCCCCCACCCTATCCCATGCCCACAACTTCCAGCAGAGTTATATCCGATGTGCTTGACTGTGACGTCTAGGGGCTTTCTTGATTGCGCACATATTTCTGGCCTAATCGTGTCTTGTGGTTCTCCTTCCCCCCCGGATGATCGGGATCGATGGTATGGCCTGAGGGCCGTGTCGATGTTTCGCCTTGTACCTGATGTGCTGTGGTACGACAGGCGAAGTTGAGCATTTCTTGATTCTGTCAAGCTGTCTCTAAGATTCCCGAATCCTGAGGACCCGGACCAGACTATTGGGATCAATTCCAGATTGACAGTGTTGATGCAACAGACAGCCCCATTCTCGATGGAGAAGGCACGGAACAATATGCTTATGGCACCTATGTCCGCCGCTGGGACCTGCTTCGTAGCAACTCGTTTTCTAGAGCTAACCTTTTGTGATTAAGATGTGCGCAACATCACTCATGTGATCAACTATGATTATCCGAACAACTCGGAGGACTACATTCATCGTATTGGCCGTACCGGCCGTGCTGGTGCTAAGGGTACTGCCATTACATTCTTTACTACTGACAGTAAGCCTAATCGCTCTCCCTCATGCTCTTAAAGCTCGGCTAACCCACATCGCCAGACTCAAAGCAGGCTCGTGATCTAGTGGGAGTCCTCCAAGAGGCTAAGCAACAAGTTGACCCAAGATTAGCCGAGATGGCGCGATACGGTGGCGGCGGTGGTGGTGGCCGATATGGAGGCCGTGGTTACGGACGTGGTGGTCATCGTGGTAGGTTTTATCGATAGTCATACCATTATGAATGAAAACTAACTGAAATTCCAGGCGGTGGTGGTGCCGGCGGTGCTAACGCTATGCCTCTTGGCAACCGACGATGGTGATCGAATTTCCTACAGGTGCCTACAAGATCCCAAATATCCAGTACCCCATGGTAATGCTTGTGGAATCGTTGAGGTCATCTTCTTAATTCCCAAAAGCACAAACGGCGTTATCTAGAGGGTTCGGCTGATTAGACATGGTAATATCGGCTTTCTTCAAGTTGTGCATCTCTTCACTGAGATCTGCACGTCTCATTGTTCCTTTAATTTCGTTGAGAGACATGATAAATTTCCTTATGTCTCTAAGAAGGGCAACGCTACCTTAGCTTGAGAAGAGGCACAGCATTTGTTGTATTGTTCAGGGTCTCTCATGAGAAAAGAATCTGTGGCCGTGCCTGTTAAAATGCAGGATATTGGCTGTGGAATTTACTGACCCGATTCTAGATTGGAACTGCTAGGCTACATATTGACTTCCAAAAGTCCCCTGTGTTCATGTAGATTCACTCGGCCCAATTGCACTCACTAGGAGGCAAATCGGACAGCCTAGGTAGCATAAGAACGTTTTCTAATACTATTCCTACACTCGGTGATACTAGCTTTGGTCGTAGTGATGAATATTTCACGTGTTGGCCAGTGGCCCACTTAGCAAGATATTAAACACCAATATCATTGCAACGGCATATGATATTCGGTCTCATTTCCCACCTTTGCCGAATCTTGGCTACATGAGGGCCATCTAGGTGGGTAGGGTTAATCAAGATTGCCGTTCTGAATAGGCACACAATATATCCGGCCCAAGTCCCATTTACCCGGTTCTCGCAACTCACATTCCGTTCGGATTCTCTTTCCACCCTGGCGTCATATGCTAGCATGACACCTTTTGGTTCTTGATGATGGCTTGCTTATTGCTTGTTGCCTTTGCTTCCGGAGTCTGGGGTTTATAATTCTGTCGTAAGGATGGCAATAAGTATATCGTAGTTCGTGTGAACCAATCTTTTTGCGAACTTTTTTCTCTTCTGTCATATCTTAGAAAAGACCGTCGTCAACATAAAAACTTCTCCTGGTAGAAGAGGCCGATAAAACTAAGCTTTTACGTTTAGTCGCTATTTATCAAATCGGTATTGACCATGAAGGCCACGGGAGTCCTTGCCTTTTTTGTTGGCGCTATCCAGGCCGCTCCGCATTGTATGTATACCTATATATCATTAGATTTTTGCTATTCGTCTTTGCACTGGGGTTGTTGATCTACGTCATCTTTCTCTATATTTCAAGCGTCTATAAGTTGTTTAGTAGCTCTTGGAGCTCTTGTATTCTCTTCATGTATATCTAGGAGGCTATATTGTGTCCTGTTGTTATTCGCCGTATTAGTAAACTAATCTGTTCAGACACCTTTCCCAACCTCGTCGGAACGTCGTCCTGGTCGTCGGTGCGCCAGGTTAGTATTTCAGATCCATTTATCACCGTTCTCAGTATTCCGAGAGAGAGGGAGAGAGAGAGAGAGGGAGAGAGAGAGAGGGAGAGAGGGAGAGGGAGAGAGAGAGAGGGAGAGAGAGAGAGGGAGAGAGAGAGATAATGAACTTGGTTGATTAAGAGGAGCGTTGCTACTTATGTTGCTTCAATATCTCCAGTATTAACACCATATCTCCAAATAGACGGCCAACTTCCAGAGCAATGGGCCGGTGACGGACGTGACAAGCGACGCGATCCGATGCTACCAACGGGCCGCCGGCGGTGCGCCCGACATCACGAAGGTCAACGCGGGCGGTCAGATCACCTGGCAAGTGGCACCGAGCATCTACCATCCGGGGGCATTATCCGCGTACATGGCGAAAGTCCCTAGCGGCCAGACCGCTGCGACGTGGGATGGCTCAGGCGCTGTCTGGTTCAAGGTCTTCCAGGATATGCCGACTGCCAGTAGTGGGCAGTATAACTGGCCATCGAATGGTGAGTGTTCCTATTTGGTTCTAACTGATAATCCCACCATTTGTTACGAGCACAAAAGATAAAGAGGGAAGAGCGATTGGGCATTTTACCACATGTACTGACTTTCGTCGTCAAATACAGGAAAATCACAGGTTGCCTTCACTATTCCCCAGTGCCTGGCTAGTGGCGATGTAAGTAATTCCTGAGATCGTATCTATTTTGTGCTGTTCTAGCTATCTTGAGTATCGCGACAAATTTTTGGGTTGGAAGCTCGACATGACAGTTACTGACCCTGTGTGTTGTAGTACCTGTTCCGCGTCGAGCATGTTGCTCTTCACAGGTTAGTCCAGGTCTTTTGCACTTGTTGCTCCTATACCAAGTTATTTCCCCCCTCCTTAGAAATAGCTGACATTCTTTTCAAACGCAGTGCGAGCTCTGCAAATGGCGCCCAGTTTTACATCTCGTGTGCCCAGATCACGGTCTCTGGTGGCTCGGGTTCAAAGACACCGTCAAACCTCGTCTCCTTCCCAGGTGCCTACAAGAGTACCGACCCTGGTCTCCTCATTAATATCTACAACAATGGTGGCAAGACCTACCAGCCTGCCGGCCCGTCTGTTTTCACTTGCTGAGGATAAGTGGGTGGAGGCTGTTTGTGAGGAGGATGAAGGACGAAGAGTGTCTACCAGGAGAATGGTTTTGCTCGCCAAGATTAAACCTCGTTATGATCAGGTAGTCGAGGGATCGACTATTGTGTTCTCAATGTAAAACGCTCCAAGTAAATTCCTGCAGCATATCAAACTTCCCCAAATTGGTCGTCCGAGTCCGTGCGCGATGTTAGGGTACCTTTGGACTCCCGTTGACCAATGTAGACCCAATGTGACGCTCGATGTTGACGACATCTTGTCCACCTGACACGAAACAGAGAATGCCTCCTTAAATTTCCTCTCGATTCTAGATTCGAGTCGACATGACTGGGAATGCATACTACTTAATATAGATAGACCACACCTGCCAGCCTTATATTACACCGATATACAGGTAACGCCTCAGGTCGTACAACATGCCCCACAACTCAGCACTATTATCTATGGGTTGTATCAAAATGCAAAGACACCTCGGGGAGGCCTCGATAATACGCGGTGAGAGGGGGGAAATCCAGAATACAATCATAGGGGGACAACCAAAAAGACTGGAGGTCATTCATGACTCTCGATCGGGGAATCGAACCCCGGCCACCTGCGGCTTGCTCTTTAGAATCGCTTTACTACTACTAATAATATCCACCATCGTGAAGTTCGTAATCATCTAATGTAATGACAAGCAGGTATCCTGACCACTAGACCAATCGAGATGTACAGGCCAATTGAAAATTCACGTGAATCAAGGTCCCGTTATTATTGTTGAGGCATCCGGATTTTACCATGCCCTATACGTACCACTAGACCGGTCAAGAATAGACCGGTCGAGAACAGATCTGTTGTGGTGTGGGAGATCGAACCTATGGGTCGAAGGTGAACCAATAGACCAACCGAAATATACGATGGATAGAACTACGGCCATCGTGCTATGACTAAGAGTTCGCTAGGCTAGTTGCCGAGTCATGACGCAGCTTTCACGAGTGGGAGAGTGGAGTATAGAAGGAGGGTGTAGAAGGAGAAGTCATTTATCTTGCCCATCTCAATTTCCTTTGTACTTTGGGAACGTTGCAACCGCAGAAATCGAAAGTCAAGAGTGTATTCATCGAACGATTGTGACATGCCGCAACTTATTGGGCGAGGCTGTTGTGTCTTCTAATAGATGCTGTGCATGCTCCTATCGACTGTTCTAGACTAGTAAGACGTTGAATTCCCTCTTAGTCTTAGCCTACACGAAGTTCCCAAAGCCAACAGATTATCGTGACATGTGGCTTCTGGCCCTACAAAGGATGGATAGATGGAGTTACTGGAGGACGGTGAACATAACAAACCTGTCGACATTCGAGTGTAGGTATGCGTACTCAGTAGGTATGCGGCATGGCCTGCAGATTTTGTGGCCATATGACCCCCAACACATCGGTCCGTTGCGATACGGATTTAATCAAATTACCGTTGTATTTGTAAGCTAAACCTATTATCTTGCCGCTCAATCAAGCTCCTGATGGGTTGAGAGGGAAAGATACATGGTGATCGAATGTGAGGCTGGACCAGTGAGTTAATCTCCACACCGCATCTTTCAACAATCAAAGTCCAGTGAACAATCACGTCCGCGGAAGCGGGAACTTATCGTTTACCGTGCCGTAATTACTACTCATGCAAATAGAGATGCTTCGACACCATCTTGGGTTCTCGAGCGTTGCCATTCATATCCTTTTGAGCGACTGTTAGGACACCAGCCCTAGAGGATTACAAATATCCGCCTTAATTTAATTTCGAAGGATGCTGGTGAGCGTAATGCGACCAGGGGAGAAATGATGACGCGGGGAAGATGTACAGTTCACAACCTGTGACAGTGTGACGCCCTTGATCAGCTCTTGTTCCTCCACTTGGAAGGTGTCTGGGGTTACAAACAGTTATCCAGGTTACAAACAGTACAGCATATCAAGCGTCGCAGTCCAACCAATCTACTTCCAATATTTCGGTACTTTCCAATCCTATTCAACGTCATGAATACCTAGACGGAAAATGATAAAAAATCAAAAAATAATAAAAAGTGGTATGCTATATATAGATATGTATGGATCTTGCTACAATTGCATGCCACGAGTGTTAGTGTACTACTAAATGATCAAGTTTGGTGCAAGTACCATCCATAACTAAACGCCTCGAAACTCTATCGAACTGTGAGACATTGAGACATAGACACCAAACTGAATACTCGCATCAATGTAATCAGTTATTAGCCAGCCGTAAGTGACACGTCGAAAAGGTAGCTTCCGACATAGCCACTGTTTTCGAATGTCATGTCTCTTTCATCGTTCGTATAATCCAAGTCACGAGTTGTTCGGGGACTGTGGCGGAAGTAAGGGAGAGTCGGTCGTAGAACTTGTTTTTTTTTTCTCACCGCGAGGCACAGCGTTTGTCAGCTCCAGAATCAGCCGCATGGCTTCTTCTCACCGAAGAAATTATCGTGATCCTCGCGTCTCTGTTGCAATTCCTCAATATATATTCATTCAATGTTTATTTATATAGTGAATTGGAAATGTCTCGCCTGCTTCATTGCTTTTCAATGCCATGTTGGTAGCCTAGGCACACAATATTTATGTTGCAAAGCACGGTGGCTTGGATGACCAAGAAAATCACCCGTTTTCCAGCGCCTCTCAGCAGCAAGCCACCTATATTAACACATATTATTCGGCCGAGCGGTCGAATCCCCGATCAGGACTGAGAAATAACGACAGGGCGGTATGCAAGCCACTGTGCTTTACATTCGGTCTGTGGTTGGTTCATATTCCTCGGTTATTCATAGAAGAGAGAGACATGACACAAAATTTTCTTTCTCTCTGTGGCAGAGGTTGTTCATACGGACCGCTCTATAGAGCAGAAGTTAGTTAGTACTGGCTGGGGGGCGAGTTACGCAGATGAGACACAAAGCTGATAACAGCCGTAGTAGTCATAATAGAGGCTTGTTACCAAGAGAAGTTCTCTGTGAAACCTGTCTTATCACTAATTACTACCGTAGCAACTCCGTCGATTCGATGATGTGTAACGGGATCTAGCAGATTAGTGACAGGCGACCGCTCACTACCCGAAGCAAAGGGTGCGCCAATGGCTGTCAGATCGCTCTGGTTCCTACCTTAGACTGATCTCCTGCAAAGTGCTGTACACAAGGACTACCTCAGCAGTCACCGCCAAGGTGCTCTAGGTACACTACTACACTGTCTTAGTACCATGCACTTTTGGCGTCACGGTAGCCCATCCGAAAGTGCACTAGGAACCACAGACTACACCCATCACGTTGTTGCTAAACCCCCAATGCCTGTGTTTCTGCTCTTACTCAACTAACTACCTGTGCTCTACGCAGTATAATCCGACCCACATGTCTGACGCATTGATGATCGAAAGTAGAACAACCTGCATCGTTCGGAGAGGAGAGAATTCCGGCGGATTGAGGAATGCTACCTCATCGAGGTCAAGTCCCATCCATGTCCGATTAGATGTCATCGTGATGCTGGCTGGGATCAGGGGTGTCGAAGTTCCGTAGGGATTAGGAGGAACGAGGTAAAGACGAAGTAGATACGAAGGTAGTCAAGACAAAAAAAAAAGAGACTGCCCTCCCTTTCCCCTTCTCTTCCCTTCCCTCCCGGTTGGGCCTGTGACCATCGTGGGTCCCCCGTCTTCGCTCGCTACTACCACCTAAATAGAGAGATATAGAGCGAAAATCAAACGCAATACTGCCGAAACGCGCGACCCCGAGCGAAGGCAACATCTCATTTCCCCCTTTAGTGCGAACCATCTACGACTTTGGTTTCTCGGATAAGACTGGGAGACACAGTACAGTACGATCCTTTCCCCGGGGGAGAAAATCTTTAGGAAGAAAAAAAATAATAATACCCCCACCCCACTGCATAGCGTACTGTATTCGAGGGCTTTCGGGGAAATTGCCCAATGCTATTCTCTCCTCCACGAGATTTTTGACTCCTGCCACCACAGAGAGCAGGCAACTCCTCCTACAAGGGAGAGAGAGTCATTTGACCCGTGAACACACTCACGTTTTACCGTTGACGTCAATGGCAGGAGGGCGGGAGCTGCGGTAGCTGAAATAGGTATGCCACTTTTATTTTATTTTTTTGTTCCTTAATGTCTTAATGGATTCACCGCTCTTGTGAGGATTGGCAAGAGTTGAACCGGGAAAGAAAGAGAGAGAGAGAGAAAAAACTACATAGAAAAAATAGTCGATAGATACGGCATACTGTATTCGCTCAGACACATATACACGCGCGGCATACATCAAATGGCGTTATATCTGAAGATTGAATGGCTGGGCGCACCTACTTGTTATGGCGTGGAGGAGAGAGGGCAACTGAGAGGAAAAGGGATAGTGTTGTTGTGCATTGATCGCCACTGCAGCTTGGCGGCAGGGGTCCTTTGTATACCGTACTAGATCCAGACAAGTGGGTGATGTTCCCAGGGATCTCAGAGATACGGATGGAGAGATAGGATCACATTTGCCCAAGGAAGCGGTTAGGGCGTAGGCGATTGCGATGGTTTTTCTGGTGGTAGTGTAGGACAAGGTATACATAGCCGTATGTATCCCTCGCAGATGGGGTGGCAGATGCGATTTGCTGGTTCGTTCCGGGGTCGAGCACGGGTAATAGTACCACGGTCTTGGTCTGGCTGTCCTCCTTGTTATTTGTGACGCCGCGCCAGGATAAAGTTGCCCCTTCGAGCTGTATATTACTATGATGTGAGCGCGACAGTGGCCAGCTGAAGATGCCCAGCAAGTCATGCGTAATCTGTCGACTTGTCGGTTTTTGTTCCACGACAAAGTTCCTAACGTCACACTTCAAATGACTGACTCCCTTTGATCATGATGATTGCATGTACGGTGATTTGATACACCCCTTGAGCCCTCCGCAGGACTTACATACATGCACATCAGTAGGAATGGAGAATGGAACGCAAAATTATGGGGGTTCGCCCATCTTATGATTCGGTCAATATTGGAGGCCTTGGCTGCTGTACTGCACCTGGAGGAGACATGACTCGATGTTATGGTTCCAGCATGGGTTTTTATGGAGGTTGTACATACAGACTTTCTACACTGGGAACACGCCGAATCAGTCAAGGTTGCATGTTAGTGGGTCTACGTCGCATGCAATGCAAGGCCAACGATGAGATGAGCACCTTTTTTTCCTCCGAGAGTGCCTTCTCGACGAATCGAGGTGCGACGACCTATACCCCAGGGCAGGGTGTAGTGTACCGGTCGGTATACACGCTCGATAATTCATATCAGAGAAAATAATGACACTTGGGGTCTCTCGGCGAAGGTTACCACATCCATTGGTACCGGTGTGCGTTCGAATTGCGAGTGTTGATCTCGAGACCCCGTAGATCTCGCAAACATTGGCTTACAGCTTTTGTGACGTGAGATCGAAGAAACAGGGATCATTTGGTCGACGAAAACGGCCATGATTATTCTCCGGAGATCAGATGTCTCAAAGCTGCAGTCCCCTAGTGAAAGATATGCATGTGTAGGAGGCAAGGAAGACAGAGAGGTACATGATTCAAGAGTACAGCACAGTATAGTTACTCTGTGCTCGTATGCCTCATTGCTTCATGCAGATAGTCATCTTCGTTTTGATATCCTCACGAATGTGAAGCACCACGTCCTCAACATCATCTGTACAACATAGATACCTGGCTCGTCTCATAC